CTGCCCTAGGACTTTTGGAACCTGAGACTATAAATATACAAAATTCAGAGAGCAGATAATTTTTAATTATAAAATAGCTAATCTAAAATTACATTTGTTTTGATGTTATTTCCTAAAATTGAGATACTGGGGGTAGGAACAGTGGGGAGGGAGAGAGAAAAAATGGAAAGTCAATTTCATCAATTTCTCTATATTTCAGAGTGTTTTTAGATCACAAAGGTGAACTTAGTAAAGATTTTAAATGTTATTTGGCTTCCATAGTCTCATGAAAAAAAATCTTATTTTCTAGTATTATTTGAATCCTCTCCAGCTCATCTGTAGTTTTGTTATTGTCGAATCCAAAGTTGCACGAAGCACAGTGAAATAGGAGCTTACTGCGTGATTCAATAACAGTACAGTATAGTTGAAAAAGAAAAGGTTTATATGCAAAGTCACAAATCTGAAACATTAAGTAGACATTGACTTCCTTTGTGGGAAACACAATCAGCTCTTATAAATTAGGAAAGTTAAAATCCTGACCCTCAATTTTAGGTAGTTAAGTCCTAATTCAAATATTCTAAATTTTCATTTGAGGCAGATGGCTTCATTATGATTTTATACTTTAAAGGTTCAATTCTGGGTTCTTAAAGCAAATGTTCAGAAATTGTGATCTTACCTGTTACTCATAAAATGCTCTAGTTCCCAGAAAGAGAGGGGTAGGGAAAGGAGAGAATTCTTTTTGTTGGAGAAATGAAACTTTATTACAGTGATATTCACTTATCTAAAATTATAGATTTTAAATAATTTAATGGGTTTTATTTAGCTTTTCACAGGAGACGAAGTCAGAAGTATGGAAAATCTCCAGTGTTAATTTAAGGTTATGAGGCCCTTTGCGAGTCATACAAATTCAGACAATAATTACTAATTGAGCTTTCACTCTGTGTCTTTTTGTCATGGCTTAGGTGGTGCTTGTTGTTTTTTAAGATCTCATTTACATATTTTTCAGAGCAAATACACAAGGAAAATTTCAGATCCCCTGGACTTACAAGGTTGCTAGACCCTCATCAACCAAACTCCTAAAAATGTTATGTTGTCACTGAACATGATACAACTGAGTTACACAAACCATGCGCTGGGTGCCAAGGTGGGATTTTGGTGTGAAATTACCTCTGACTCAAACTCAGTAGCTTTAAGGTCGATTTTGATTTAAAGAAAATTAAATAAGAAAACTAAGTTCATTTAAAATGTAATGTCCAGGGCCCTGGCTGGCGTAGCTCAGTGGATTGAGCGCGGGCTGAGAACCAAAGTGTTGCAGGTTCGATTCCCAGTCAGGGTACATGCCTGGCTTGCAGGCCATGACCCCCAGCAACCGCACATTGATGTTTCTCTCTCTCTCTCTCTCTTTCTCTTTCTCCCTCCCTTTCCTGTTTAAAAATAAATAAATAAAATCTTAAAAAAAATTAAAAAACAAATGTAATGTCCACATGAAAAGTTGAATTAGCATATGCTGAACTGCCCAAATTTATGAAAAGCAAGAGCTTCTAGCAGACTTCAATTAATCAGAAAAGAACTAGAAATTACATGACTCATAACAGAGATAGCTAGAAAATCAAAAACTTGCTCATATAGTGAGAGAAGATAAGAGAAAATGTTAAGTAGAAAAAGGCCTGGATAATTAGTTAAATTTAGTGTATTGACATTGAACACCAGTCCTGGAAAAGATTAACATTTTAGAAACTGAGGTAGTAAATTAGGGCATTCAAAATCAGAATTTTAATCTCAACACTCACATGGAATTTCAAAATCAAAAATTTATATCAAAGTGATATAATTGTCACCCTTACCTGTTGCTGCATGGGCAATGGAAGCCTTCTCTCTAGACAGTGCAGAACCTAGCCCCAGAAACAGCTGTTCAATTGTTTCTGATTTTTAATCTGGGTTTTTTTGGAAAATGTGAAGGCTATGGAGTCATTTCCCATTTAGAAGAAAAAAAGGGCTTGATAGGTCTGTGCCATGTAACCGTCATCAGTGTTAATCTGGTCCCAAGGGCGAAACTTCTGCATCAACAGGAATATCTATCTCCTTCCTCTATTAAATATATCCCTGACATATTTCCCTGTGTAGCTGAATTTCTTACCAGGAATACTTTATGGAGTAAATATTAGAGAGAAGAAATGCTCATCCTTCAAATGTAATGAGTTGAATAATCCCAGGCAAGGGATACCAATATCAGTGTCAGAGCTATATGTTATCTGCTTCAGGGTAGGCACCCGATTTATGTATGTGCCTCTCCCATACTTCCTTGCCGAACAGAGCAGATTGTTTAAAAACTGCTGTAATCCCCCACCCACCCCATGTAATTGTGTCACTAAAGAAAATACTGGCATTGAATTTCTGTCCTCTGCCTTTGAATCAGCTGAAACACCTGTGCAACCACTAAAAAGCAAATGTCATTCAAGTTTGGATCTGTTCATGTTCAATACCAAATGGCAATATATACCCACAACCCGGGAGGGAGATCTAAAACTTGTGAGTGTGGAAAAACCCTCGGTGTTATTAAGGAGGTTGCTATGGAGATGATTATGTGGGAGGAGGCGGTAGTAGGGAAAGATGGTGGTAATATTTTAAAATGATAGATCCTTAATTTTTACAAGAAGACTAAAATGTAAAGTTTGATGAAATATTTTTGTGTATGTATATGGATACAGATATCATTGCTATAAAAGCAATAAAACTAGAGAAAGAATAAACAGGGAATCCAAATTAAAGTCTGGGGATCTTGCCACATTCACATCTAAAACCTTAACACCTAGCACATGCCTAACATACACAAAAGGTATTTGTTGGGTAGGTAATTTAGATAGTAAAACTCCTTATTCTATTTTTTCTGACAGTTCAGTTATGACAATTATTAGAACAGAAAGGACTCAAACCTAGAGATACACTGTATGCTGTCTGTTATTATGTTAGTATAAATATAATATAATGCCTAGGTGCTAAGAAATATTTATTGAATGAATGACTGGATGAATTAATGAATTAAAAACTTGGTGTCCAAGTTCTGGTATAGACTGGAAGCATCTGCCTTCTTTTATTTTATTATTTTATTTTAGTATAGTTGATATACAATATTATATTTATTTTATTAGTTTCAGGTGTACAGTACTGACATTTTTATGCCTTACAGTGTGATCACCCTACAGTGAGAGATGCAATTCAAGTAAACATCTCTCACACTGCAGACTTACTGCAATATTATCGACTACCATATTTTGCCTTGTAGAATGTGTACCCATGTTTTTGTGCATATTATACATGGCATTCTTATAACCATTATTATGGCTACGGTATGTAATCATTATACACATGTATAATGAACATCTTTACTTTTCCCTCAAAATTTTGGGCTAAAATGTGCTCATTGTACACAGCAAAATACATTATATTCCTCTTCACCTTTTTCAGCTATTTCCCCTCCTCCCTCCCCTCTGGCAACCATCCCCTTGGTCTCTGTCTCTGTAAGTCTGTTTTGTTTTTGTTTTTGTTTGGTTGGTTTGGTTTTATATTCCACCTATAAGTGAAACTATGTGGTATATTTCTTTCTCTGTCTAACTTCACTTACAATAATACTCTCTCCAGTTAAAACCACACTTAATAATTTGAGATAATTACACAATAATTTGAAACAATCTGACTAACGAGGTCACGGTTACTTTCCTTCCACACCACTGAACTTCCAAAGGAAGCGATCACACTGCGAAGTGAGACGGCCCTCGTAGTATTGTGTCCCTAAGTAACGCTACGGACGGGAACCCACAGAACTTCCTGGATCCAAAGCCACTTGCAAGACACCAGCAGTCAGGTTTCCACAAAAGTTGAAAAATTGTAAATCACTTTGGGGTCACACCTAGACAATTTTCACTTTTGCTATAGTATTTCTTCATGAAGGTTGAAGTTCTCTAAAATTATCAAAATAAAATGTTGAATGGCTTGCCTTTTTTTTTTTAAGGAAAAGGAAAAATAAAGCAACCCAAAGAATCAACTAGAAAATTCTATGTGTTTTTCTTAACTTTTGCAGAAGTAAGATACCAACCCAACTCCAGCTTTAATTCTCTTAAACATACACAGAAATTCAATGATATCTGTTCTCTATTATATATGTATATATAAATATTTAACACATAGCAAGTCTCAAAACAGACAACTTGGGAGAGTTGCTAGGAAACAGTCAGGGACTGCAGTTGCCTGCTGGACATTACATCACACATAGCTCACTGTAAAGAAAGACCATTAATCATCGAAATGTATCTGGGTGCAAATGGGGACACACCGAAGCTTCTAACTGCCAAAGTCCTGTGAACTTCAGCACAGTGCGTACATCGTGAAGCATCTCAGCGGTTGACATGGCATGGCTCAGTACTAATTTTGTGTTTGCTCTGTTGCTGCAGAAATCATCTAAGCACCCAATGAACAAAATTAGTATAAATATAATACCATGTTAACTGCTGTTGAAATCCCATGGAAAATGCTTTTGTTGTTGCTTGGGTTTTGGTTTTGTTCTGTTTGCCGTTTGGACTCAGAGCAATTCGTGAAGTTGAAATGATCCTTATGACTCCACTTTGGGTTCATGTTTCGGGGCCATTCCCAAACAGGCGTCTTCAGGCTCCCACCCTGCCCTGTCAGCTTCACAGCTGCCACTGGCCACTAAGCACCTACTGCTCCGGTGGTCGATCTGAGTGTTGGATTGCTCCAAGCTAGGTCACATACCATGGATTTTTCTTTAACTTTCAAGGAAATGACTCCCAGTTCCCCTCGGATCCTGTTACTCCTTCCATGGGATTTGATGCTTTCGATTATATTTTAATATTTATATATGTATGCTTATACATATATAGATATAGGAAATACACACATTAACACACTATAATATATATAAAACACATGTATATTCACATATATGTATGTATTGTTTTTTGCAAATGAAAAAATAAAGCAAGCAAAACAAGACTGACCTAACCTACCTGTACTCGGTTCACATTCAACAAAGTCTTCGTCATCGCTTGAACATTCAGCAGATGATACAAGGTCATCTGATGTTGGCTGTGGGGGGAAGAGAGAGGAGAGGGAGAGATAAGGAAACCAATGAACAAAAGCGTAAATGACTTAACATTGTGTCCTGCCGCCATCATCATTACTGTTTCTCTTCTCTAAAGAGGGCACGCTGTAGAATGCAGAATTTTTAACTCCTGTGTAGCTGTGAATGGCTCTGGGTCCAGACAATCTGTGTGGGTCTTATGTGAAGCTGAGAGACCCAAGGTGGCTCTCAGGGACTCATACCTCTGCCATGCCTGACCCTGTGTAGCCAGACCCTCTTCTGACTTTAATTTCAATTTTGAGACTCAGAAGGGCAGGAAGAGGGCTATTACAAATGGTAGGCAATACAAGAGTGCAAGCCACCCCAGAAATGCGCTGCAGCTTTGAGAAGCTTTCAAATGCACATGGTGTGTGGTCTCAAGTGTATGATTTGGTGGTTGTGAATCTATAGGCTGGCATAATTAATGAACACTGTGGAATGCAGTCTGTTCAGGAAATGCATAATGGCTTTTCTTGCTAGCAGTGATTTCTTCATGTAATTGCTGCAATTAGCTGAATTAGTAATGTGGGCCAGCAGAGAGATACCACACAACAGTCTCTGAACACAGGTAAGACTATTTCTGGAGAGCAGAAAAACATTTGTTGCAACAGTAGTGATTCAACTCGAGACATTTTTTTTCCTATTGAATCCTACAGAAACTCCCCAGTGCCAGAGAATCTGATGCCAGAAATATAGGGGCTGTGGGCATGGGCAGTGGGACGAGCCCCTGAGATGCAGTAGCTAAGGAGACTGCTTTGTGTACCTGGTACACAGTGCATGCACGAGAAATACTGTTGAATTAATGAACTGATCTATAGATCTTATGTAAAAAACAAAATTATATCCTACTATGTACATAAGGGTACTCAATATATAGAGTATACACTGGCTTGCTAGTCTTATCATTCATAATGCATTGAAGTCTGAATCCATATTAAAGAGGAAAAGAAATTACAAGCGAGATGCTGTGCTGAACAGGTATACACACTTATTAGTTATAGTTATTGTTAATTAATTCAACATAACCTCATAACAATCCCCTGGGACAAGGATAATTATTATACTTTTAAAGGGACCTAAAGTTCAGAGAGGTTAAGTAAGTTGCTGAAGGACACACAGCCAGTGAGAAACAGAGTGGGGGTTTGAACAGATACATCTTTGTCAAAGTCTGCATGTGTGGCCCACATAGGCTTCTCTATACCTTTCCTTACATGATATTGTGGACTGAATTGTGTCCCCTTAATTTCCTATGTGGACATTGTAATTCCCACACCTCAGAGTGGGACTGACATATGGTCTTTAAAGGGGTAATAAAGTTAAAATGAATTCATTTGGGTAAATTTAATCCAAATAGGACTGGTGCCCTTATCCAAAAATGAGATCAGGGCACAGGCACACGAAAAGGGATGACAATGTTTTAACAGCACAGGGAGAAGATAGCCATTTACAAGCCAGGGAGAGAGGCCTCAACAGAAAGTAACTCAGCTGACACCCTGACCTTACACTTCTAGATTCCAGAACTAGGAGGAAATAAATTTCTGTTGTTTAAGCTACCCAGTCTGTGGCACTTTGTTATGGCAGCCTGCGCAAACTCATACACATGACAACCCATCTGCTTAGTATTTCCAGACAACATCCTTTTGAAGTAGACATAATGGGCATAGAATGACCGGACAGAGCAATGAACAGTAGAGACACCATATTAGGCAATTGATTTCACTTAGAACTGACAGTGGCAGAGAGGTGCCTTAAACCACGTTATTGATCTTTATTCTACATCTGACAGGCAGATACTTCAACACCTGTTCTTCCTTAAAGTTAATGGAAAAAGAATTTTCAAACATGCATTTTTTTCAATTAGACACTAGTGAAGTGCGCACTTCATTTCCAGCAACTGAGGCTGGCAGTTGTGCTCTGGGGCCCCGTTTTTACTGTGAGCAAAGTGGTGAGCGCACTCCCCTGGGGGCTGCTGCTGTGATGGGGCTCCATGCAGGTGCATCCCCGGTTCATTGGGCAAGGGCAGTGGCGAGGGAATAAATGTTGACTGTACGCATGCAGAACGCAACTATAAGAGACAAGCACCATTTTTGAAAGGGCCACAGTCACTGTTCAGTCACTGTAAAACAGTAAGGATTGTTTGAGTGGAGGGAGCGGATCTTAGGCATTACAAGCATTTATGACCTACCAATAGCCCATAGTACTTAAATGAATATATACTGTGTCTGTGGTATTAAAATTTTATGGGATAAGGGCAATTAGGGAAAAAATGTCTAAAAATACTCCTTAATGGGTAGTAATGAAAAAGTGGTTGAGAATGCACTTCTAAAGTATAATCAATTAGAAAATTGTTGCGGACTCGATTATAAGGACCTGGCAGAAATGGCTCATATGCTGCTTAACTAGCTTTGGTCCCTAGAAATGTGTGAAACCTGGTGACTTAATGAAAACCTAGTGAGCTCATCTGAAGGGCAGAAGGTCAGGCAAGAAAAAGGCCATGGAGCAAATGCATAAAAACTACGCATAATGGCAATAGAAGCCCCAAAACACATTGATGTAATATTAGTAGAATATTCAACTTAATTCTAAGAAAGTTATCTTAATTTTTGTTGGCCAAAGAAATGATGTAAGATTTTTTTTTTCAAGAAAAGTACTAGACTGTGAGGTTGAAAGGATATTTACTATTTTCTTCTTTCCCCACTTCCTAACACTACACAAGTTTTCTCCCCTGTGGTTTGTGCATAGTAACGCTCTCCTTCCTCAATACCACCTCAGCTTCTGTCCCCGAAGTGCTCCTGTCCCCCACTGCAGACCCAATTCATACTCTCTCCCATGTTCTCACCCGCTTTCTCCCTAGTTCACTGTCCCCAGGCCCAGTTCCTAGAGATTTGTTTTCCGTACAACCTTCTGTATGAATATGGATAAATGCAAAGTTCCTCCCAGAAAACAGAAGCACATTTGCCAGTAGCTCTGATAAACGGTGGCTAGACTTTCAAGGTTAAATGAGAGGCAGACTAGCAGAGTGTGGTAAGAGCAAGCCTGACTCTTTTTCCTGAACTTTCAGTTGGTAACCTGGGCGAGCAAGTTACCTCTCCTCTCCAAGTCCCAATGTTTTCATCTGTAGATTGAGATGCACAGAGAGTCCCCTCGCTGGTTGGTTATTGATTTGAACGTAATGTTAGCAGTGAAGCTCTATTCCTGGCATATGGTACATGCTCAATAAATACTAGCTAAAACTAAAACAATCAATTAGTCAATCAATAACACCAATGCATCTGCCATGAGGGGTGATAAAGACAAATACACTCATGAAGATTCTAAGAGAACTTGAAAAATAATTGAAATTCAATTTGTTTCCAATGGCTCTGAGTCCAGACATTCTGGGTGGGTCACATGTGAATTCATCCCTTACTTTTCTTTCCTTCAAACCTCATCATCGCTATTTACAGCCGCAGCCAATGAAACTCCCAAAGCAATGACAAACCTCTCAAACCCTCCTTGCTCAACACTGAACCAACGTTTGTTTATCTGGAGAACCTGACTTCCAGCACTGCTGTGCCCGTCCCAGCACACTGCACAGTTTCAGAAAAACTCGCTGTCAGAGGCAGCTGGCTTCAATCTGCTGAGGACTCGGGATTAAGAACACTATATTTAAGGATTTGTTTATTTATTTATTTTTGCAATCTTGGTCCCTGCCATGTAAACAAAACAAAACAAAACAAAACAAAACCTCAAAGAGTATAGCCAAGGGTATTTTTTGAAAATTTTATTTATTTATTTTTAGAAAGAAGGGAAGACAGGAAGAAAGAGAGGGAGCGAAACATCAATATGTGAGAGAAACAGTTGGTTGTCTCTCGCACACCCCCACTTTGGGACAGGCAACCCAGGCACATGGCCTGACAAGGAATCAAACCAGTGACCTTTTGGTTCGCAGGCCGGCACTCAATCCACTGAGCCACGCCAGCCAGGCCAAGCCAAGGTTTTTTGGATATGCGCTTAGGATCATATCCAAAAGTAATGACAATATGATTCAAATTTACCCTCAGGACACCCAAGGCTTCATGAGTGCCTTTTAGTATTCTTCTTTGTGTCCTTCCTCAAGTATAAGTAAATAAATGCAGCATCTGACTCTGTGCTTTGGAAGAAAAGGCATACTTCTTTTACTACTGGTTCCCATGGCTGATATAGTACAGCAGATACACACAGGCTGAGGACACCATTATCATAAGTAGAACAGAACTACAGACTTTTTGTCTTTAAATAGCATGTAGCAACCCTAGGCTGTGTGTGTGTGTTTTCCTAAAATACAACCACTTTTCATAATTACTCATAGCTCCTTAGAGGGAAAGAGTAGTCAGTACTTTTAAGAAGAAAAGGATATTTGAACTATCTAGAAGCATGCCTACTAATTACATTTAACACTTATTCAACACTCTCTATATTCAGGCTTTGTGCTAAGAAGTTAATGCATAAACTCTTTTAGTAGTCGTAATAACTAAGGGTGTAGACATTTTTCAGTAACATCTGCTATTTTTAAGGGTCCACCATCCATCCATTCTCCATCAAGTTGCAGCATTGCTTTAGGAAACTCTTCTAATTGGATCATTATGTCAAGAATGTTCATCAGGGTACCTTCCGTGTCATCTTCTCCATATTTTCTCCTCATAACGATTGTCTAAAGCTCTCATAACTCCCAATGGCTGGGCTCAAAGTGTTTACCTATAATGTTTCCTACATGTCAAAAACCAACTTTATAAGTCATTCAAGGAAGAATAAAAGATCTATGACTACTCAAAACCAAATAATTTGATCCGGAGGCTGGGCTACTAGATCCACTGTCAGTGATATATGACTATATTACAATGGTGTTTGGCTCATTCATTCATTCATTCATTCCTTTATTACTTTAATAAATACTCGATGAACACTTATGTGTCAAGCACTGTAACAGTTATGAGGGATAAAGTGA